AATAACTCTTCCTTTTGCTCCAAACAGCCCTAATCTGATCTTCAGCACCCTAGTATTATTTCTTTGCGCTGAGTAAGGCCTAGAATGTCCTGTCACAAACCAGAACCCTGTTATGATAGGTGCTCTGCAAAACACAGAACAAAGAGAGCTTGCCCCTGACAGTGTGTGATCGAAGTACAACGCAAGAAAAAGTAGCTAAATACAGGGGAAGGGATGGGTATGGGAGGGGAGAGTGCAAGCAAACAATGAGGTGCAATTAACATGTTGGAATGTTCTGTGAAAAGCATGTTTGTCAGGGCAGGTCAACACTTCCTGGGAGATTGGCATTGTGGCAATAGATTGCCCTGGGGTCAATTTAGTGGGTCTAGTAAAGACCTGCTAAATCAACTGCTGATCAACTCTCATTGACTCTGGTACTCCACTGGAACAAGAAGCATGAGGGACATCAACAGGAGAGTTTCTCCCGCAAATCCCCTACAGTGGAGATCCCGTGTCAACTCGACTTAATGTACATCGACTCCAGCTATGCTGTTTGCATAGCTTACGTCGACATTGCTCCGTGGTGTAAATCTGCCCTTTGACTCATCTTTTTCCCCCCAGGCATTTGAGGAGGATTGAGTTTTGGCTTCAGTGGAGTTGTTAGCTGGAATTGTACTGCTGCACTTAAGCTGTGTTTTTAGGTGATATCAATGATGCCTAAAACACTCGGAGAGGCATCTTTTTGAACCTAAATAATATATAGCAAAAAGAATTAAGTAATTTGCTGGCTCGGGGTGTTTATCTGAATATTTCTCTTCAATCCCATTTCTTCTGAGACAATCCATTGGAAATAAATGTTGTCTCTTTCATTTTCCTCTTAGAGTTGGGCTGTTAACATCCTTGCCAAACATTTCCTGAGCCTTAGCGCCAAGCATCTTAAAACAAAGTGACACACTAACGGCATTAGTGAACCTTTCTGACAGCCTAACCTGGGGAAGGGAGGCATGGGAACTACCCTGAGTAAAATGTATAGATCCTCGTCACATCACACCTGGGGATTTTCATTTTTTTTACTCCAATTTTGGTGCCTCTGATACACCAGATAGGACAGTTCTAAATATGTGCTCCCTGCAGATCTCTTGCCTAATGTTTGCAGAATGATTGTGTTGTGCATTTAATTTATTGCACTGATTAAAAGGTTTGACATAGGTTTTAGTTTTTGCCGTAAAACCACGAGCCGAAGGAGGAGCAATGCGGAAAAGTGCATATCTGGAAATTCACTTCAGTGACTGTTTAGTTGGTCGATATGAGTCAACACTGGTTCAATCAACACGGGTGTGTCTTTCTGCCATGAATAATCTCCTGAAATAAGAGCTATACACTTTTTATTCAAAGCTGATGAGCTGGACGTCAGTTCTTGCTATTTATTCTCTAGAGCCTCCCCAGTTAACAAGGTTTCGTGTTCACGAGGCATTTATTTTGACTACACTAGGGCTTGTTAGTGAAATTGTCCCTGCATTGCTAGCACCAAACACAGATTCACCACTGTTGGTGCTGGTGGGAGCACTAATATGGATACTTCCTGTGACCGTCAAAGTTTTTACACCATATCATTTAGACCTGCTTAGAGCTGGGTGGGACAGGATATGAAAAGTTCTGACAGCCATTCCATATTCGTGAGCTATTCTGGAGCTAGCAACTCTAGGCAGCTTTTGCTTAAAAAAATAATCCCTAATGCAGGTATGGCTCAAATCCTTGTCAACATGTAGATTCAGGGTCATCTAAGGAGTATCCAAAGAGGAAGAAAAAACTATTAGCTCAGCAGCTTTGCATGGAGAGCTCATAATTCTATTACGTGATTCTCTGAAACCTATTAAAAAAAACAATTATAAATGTTTCAAGGAAAGAACACAGTTGTAAATTAAGTAAATCAATGAATAAAACCCAGCAAAGCTAAGGGGTCAGAGATTTACAAGCTAACCAGTGGGAACATAATGCACCTATAATAAAATGTACCTGCATGCAAGACATCCAGGGAACATTTCATAATTGTGTGCTATATTCTTACCAGCCAAGAAATAGCATTGATGGAGTGTAGGGTAATTTTGCTCATCAGAGGGTACGCCTACACTACACAGCTATTTTGGGATGCCTGAGGTATCCCGAAATAGCTAGCTTGCGTCAACACAAGTTGCCCGTTATTTTGAAATATTTTTTGAAATAACAGGCGCACTGTTTCACCATTCCAGTAAACTTCATTGCATGAGGGATAAGGGAGAGTTCAAAAGAGCATGTTATTTTGAAATTTGGTACTGTGTAGATATGCCAAATTTCAAAATAAGCTATTTCAAAATATATTTGAAATAAGATGCGCAATTTGCATAGTGCAGATTGCGTATCTTATTATGAGTTTCGGGTGCTATGTAGACACACCCATAGAAAGTTCTCAGTAGAGAGATTTCATGAACAGGTTGAACAAAATGAATTAAAATTTTGGGTCTGAAATCGTATCTGTTACAATGGTTAAAATCTGCAGATTTTTTCCCATCCACATGTAGAATACATTTATGTGTGCACCGAGACACGTGTAAATGTGCATCATGAGTAGAAGCCAAAACCTAGCTGTGGGTGCTCTGCTAATCAGCTGGGCAGCACTTGAATCTCTTCTGATTCAAGCGTGCAGCTTACAGGGAACACTGATTGGCTACGGACGCTTTTCCGTTAAAAGCATTTTCAGAAAAGCGCGTCTAGATTGGCACAGACACTTTTCCGCAAAAGCACTTTTTGTGGAAAAGCATCCGTGGCCAATCTAGACACGCTTTTCCACAAAAAAGCCCCGATTGCCATTTTCGCGATCAAGGGCTTTTTTGCGGAAAACAAATCTCTGCTGTCTACACTGACCCTTTTGCGCAAAAGTTTTTCGGAAAAAGACTTTTGCCTGAACAGGAGCAGCACAGTATTTCCGCAAAAGCACTGACAATCTTCCATGAGATCGTCAGTGCTTTTGCGGAAATTCAAGCGGCCAGTGTAGACAGCTGGCAAGTTTTTCTGCAAAAGCAGATGATTTTGCAGAAAAACTTGCCACTCTAGACACAGCCATTATGTATTAGGCCCCCCAGTATCTCAAGGACTGTGTCTAGACTGGCAAGTTTTTCTGCAAAACCAATAGCTTTTGCGGAAAAACTTGCCAGCTGTCTACACTGGCCGCTTGACTTTGCGCAAGAACACTGACGATCTAATGTAAGATTGTCAGTGTTCTTGTGCAAATACTATGCTGCTCCTATTCAGGAAAAAGCCCTGTTGCGCAAATGTATTTGCGCAAGAGGGCCAGTGTAGACAGCTAAAAAGTGTTTTGCACAAAAAAGCCCCAATGGCGAAAATGGCGATCGGGGCTTTCTTGCATAAAAGCATGTGTATATTGGCACGGACGTTTTTCCACAAAAAGTGCTTTTGCGCAAAAGCGTCCGTGCCAATCTAGACGCTCTTTTCCGCAAATGCTTTTAACGGAAAAACTTTTCCGTTAAAAGCATTTGCGGAAAATCATGCCAGGCTAGACATAGCCAAGTGGTTTAAAAATCATGAGATATTTTAAAAAATAATACCTTTAGGATTTTTAATTTTCCTTTTTTGAGATTTTCACAGACTTGCACAGCCCCAACCCTTAAATATCATGAGATTCATGATAAAATCTGGAAAGTTGGCAAGATAGAGATCCCTTGTCAGAAGCTGTCATAATAATAACACCTCCTGTCACAGGATTTCACAGTGATTTATGCTCACAAATGATTTTCATTTAGCCTGGCAATAATCCTTTAAGGTAGAGAAGTGTTAAAATCCCCATCTTGCAAATGGGAAACATGATGCATAAAGAGACTCAGATCATCTGCTCAAGGTCACCCATGACAACCAAAACAAATTTGGGAGTAGAACTCCGACCTCTGAATTCTAACTACTGTGCTTTTGCGACAAGAACATCTTCTCTTGTCTTATGTATTAGCAGGGGTGATGAAGAACCCTGCTTTGTGAATCAGGGCTCTCTGAAATAAAAATGAAGAAGGAAATATCAAGGTTTAAAAAACCCATCCATCAAACGTTGTAGCATCTGCCAAAGAGAAAGGTCTGAATCTTCACTTGTGAAAAATGTTAACATGTCAGGTGCTATATATCAGTAGTGAAGCAAGTCTGAACTTGGCTCCCCATCACCTCCCTTATCATTGCTATTATTGTCCTTGATTCATTCTTGAACCTTGCTTACGTCCTACTGCTGCGCAAATACGAATGAGTAAATCCATTCGATAAAGGTCTTAGAGAATGTCGTTACACCTTAAGAAAGCTAGGAGGGAAAATTGTTTTAATCTGCAACATTTGTATGCTATTCACTGTTCAAACTAAGTAAAAAAATATTCACTTGGCAGTTACCCAGCATGTTTCTATTCTTAGACCGTATTCAGTCCATTCTCCTTCTGGGGACATCTAACCTTATATGTAATTATCCCACTGAGAAAGGGAAGTAGGTATAAATAACCATAGTTTGCAGAGTGGAGAGATCTCCAGGAGGGGTTGTCATGTTGGCTCCTGACGGGAAACTTTCTTCCAGGACTGCGTTTTGGTGAACTGATGGGATATGTCACCGCATATGATCAATTTCTCAACTTCCTTTCCTGCCTAGCACTGAAGCACTTACCTGCACTAGTGATGGACACTAAAACAGAAAATACGCCAACAGACAGACACACCTAACAGTATATTCTTTGTGAAAATGTACAATCGCTCCAAACAAATGGGACCGTGAAGATGAGTAGGACAGATTCTCTGAATAGCTAACTTGAATCCTCAATTAAAATAGCCTTCATCTGATTTACTGGGCCACACAGACATTTATGTAATAATGGAGAAACCCGTAGAACTATTTGGCTGCAACAACAATGGAAGAGCATGTCTCTACTGCCCCATGGAAGGGTGGTGGGGGTGATTTGATACATAAGCACTCTACAACAATTATCTTTTTTTTCTTTCCCAAGGTTTGTCGAAGTCACTCGGTCTCATTGAAGGCTATGGTGGGCGTGGCAAAGGTGGGCTTCCGGCCACCCTTTCCCCAGCAGAGGAAGAGAAAGCTAAGGGCCCACATGAGAAGTACGGCTACAATTCCTACCTCAGCGAGAAAATTTCACTGGATCGCTCCATACCTGATTATCGTCCAACCAAGTAAGTCTCCTTTAGCATCAACATCGTGGAAGCACCAGGGTGAGCGATAAACAGCAGTGTCCATTTTCTCCAGGATCTCAACTCGTGCTTTTTTCCTTTCCTACTTAACTCAGTCCCAAGACAATCTTATTCCCTAGCAAACAACTGGATTGAGATCAAGGCCATGAAACAGGCCAAAACATAATATATTGCGCAGAAAATGGTGGGTGGTAATGACAGAAAAGGTCAAGATGTGCTCCAGGCAGCAGAGTCCTGCCCACTATGGTCGCAGACACAGCTTGTCATGCATGTTGTCCCTCAGAATTGAGCCAAGAGGCTCTGCCTTCATTTCCTCAGTGCCGCAGACCCACTAGAGTTCTAGGGATAAACTATTGCCCCTGCGTTGTGCCTTCCCATCCTTCTAGCTGAACTGATCTCACGAGCATCCCTTCAGTTCCAATCTACACTGTGCTTTAATCAATGCAGAGCGTTATGCTGGCTTGGGCAAAAGAGGCACTTCTCTCACAGCAGCAAATCAGAGATTCATAGAATCATAGACTAGAACTGGAAGGGACCTCAAGAGTTTATCAAGTCCAGTCTTCTGCACTCACAGCAGGACCAAGTGCCATCTAGATCATCCCTGAGAGATGTCTGTCCAACCTGCTCTTAAATGATGCTCCAGAGACGGAGATTCCACGGTCTCCCTAGGCAATTTATTCCAGTGTTTAACCACCCTGACAAATAGGAAGTTTTTGCTAATGTCCAACCTAAACTCCCTTGATGCAATTTAAACCCATTGCTTCTTGTCTTATCCTCAGAGGCCAACGAGAACAATTTTTCTCCCACCTTATAACACCCTTTTAGATACTTGAAAACTGCTATAATGTCCCCTCTCGTTCTTCTCTAAAAGCTAAACAAGCCCAGTTCTTTCAGTCTTCCCATGTAACTCATGTTTTCTAGACCTGTCATCAGTTTTTTTGCTCTTCTCTAATTTCTCCACCTCTTTCTTGAAATGTGGCACCCAGGAGTGGACTCAATAATCCAACCAAGACCTAATCTGTGCAGAGTAGAGCAGTATAGTTACTTCTTGTGTCTTACTCACAACTTGCCTGTTAATGCATCCCAGAATCATATTTTTGCAGTAGTGTCACACTGTTGACTCATATTTAACTTGTGGTCCACTATGAGCCCTAGACCCCTTTCTGCCGTACTCCTTCCCATTCTGTGTGTGAAGGGATAGACAAGCAGTCTGCCTTTCATATATGGAGATATACCTATCTCATGGAACTGGAAAGGACCTTGAGAGGTCATCGAGTCCAGTCCCTTGCCCTCACCTTCGGACCGAGTACCATTCTTGACAGATTTGCCCCAGATCCCTAAATGGCCCCCGTGAGGGCTGAACTCACAACTCTGGGTTTAGCAGGCCAGTGCTCAAACCACTGAGCTATCCCCGTGATGTGCAGCCCAGGCAGAGGAGGGCCCCAGGAAAGTGTGTGTGGGCAGGTGGGCTGGCTCCATGCGCCAAAAGGGGAGGTGCCTGGGGCAGATGGGGTGGGGCTGTCAATAGTCAGCCCGCCATGCCACCTGGAGTCTCGGCAGTGATTTAAAGGGGCCAGGGCTCTGGCTGCCACTGCCCCTTTGAATCACCAGACCCCAGGGCAATTTCCCCCTTTGCCCCACGGCTGGCAGGCCGGATCCTAGGTAACAACGGCGTAGGCCCAAGAGCAGAAGCCAAGGTGGTGCTGGAGCCCACACGAAGTTTACGATGAAAGTCTCCTAGTTCTGTATTTGCACAGCACCAGGCACAAGGGCATTCCAGTCCATGATAGGGGCTCTTTCGTAGGTGTCACAATCATACACAGAAAGACTATTCATAATCTGAGGGGGGTGTCGGTGACAGTCCCTTCCAGCCCTATGGAGGGGGTCACCAGACACGTCACTTGCAATACTGACAGGCCCACTGACGGGGGGCAAAGAGGGCCGTTGTCCTGCGACCCAGCAGTTTAGAAGGTCCCGGGGCTACTGACAGCTGCCTCTGCTACGGTGGCCAGATCCCCAGCTCCCTTTGAGTCGCCACCAGCGTGCTGCTCCTCGTGGCTCTGAGGGCTGTGGGGGCGGGGAGGGGATATGCTGAGGCCTGGCTGCCCCCAGCTGTGCCCCTTCCAGCAAAGGCCTTGCCCTTCCAGGAGGCGCGAAGCTGGATCCTCCCATACTTTGCACTGGTAATGGGATATATGTCCACCTTCCATGTCATTAGGCCTGAGGTGGCTGTCGGCCCTGCTGGTTACCGCCATTTGATTTTACATCTGTCAGTTGCTTCCTTCACCAATTGGAGACTAGTCACTCAACTACGCAGCTGTAACAGAAGGGAGGTATGAGGAAATGCCCACAGTATGGGTCACAAGAGAGACCTTTGCAAGGCCGCGTGATCCACCTTCGTTTTATTTCCAGGTTTGGGCTCTGTAGCTAAGATGTGATGTATTAAGGAGGAGTGTTGTAAGCAAGGCATGAAAAATAATTCCGCCATTCTGCTCAGGACAGATAAGGCCTCAGCTGCAGTATTTTGTCCAGTTTTGGGCGCCAAACTTTGGGAAAGATGTTGACAAGTTGGAGAAAGTCCAGAAGAGAGCAATAAAAATGATCCAAGGCCTAGAAAACATGACATGTGAGGAAAGACTGAAAAAAAAAATCCAGGTTTGTTTAATCTGCGGAAGACTGAGGAGGGACATATGTCTTCAAGTATGTAAAAGGTTGTTATAAAGAAGAGGGTGATAAATTGTGCTACTTAACCACTGAGGACAGGACAAGAAGTAATGGACTTAAATTGCAGCAAAATAGATTTAGGTTAAGCACTAAGAAAATCTTCCCAACTGTCAGGATGGTTAAGCACTGGAACAAATTGCCTAAGGAGGTTGTGCAGTCTCCATCACTGGAGGTTTGTAAGAACTGGTTAGACAATCACCTGTCAGAGATGGTGTAGATAATGTTTAGTCCTGCCTCTCTGCAGGTTCCTTCTGGTCCTACATTTCTCTGATTCTGTGTTTAGACCTGATGGGGTGGGGGAAGGGTTGACTGCCCCAGGGCCCAGAGATTTGAAATGGTCTGGGGCACCTGGCTGTTGCTACTATGGCAATAGCAGCATCCGGCACCCTGGGCCCTTGAAATCATCAGTGACCTGGGCAGCACACGCTGTGTGGGGCTGTTCCAGTGACCTGGAGCCACACTTGTCCAGGGCCCATCTAAGTCTGTTAGCAGCCCTGTGAGAGCACAGTTAGCTCATGGAAGAATGCTACGTCCGTATAGATGCTGTAAAACGGAGGCTCCAAATGTCTCTGAATGGTGATGTGCTTTTTTCCCCCAGATACGTTTTAAGATGATAATGATGCGAAGCCCATAGAGATGTGAACACAAATGAGATGCCAACTCAGTCTGTTAGGCGTCTGGGCAGGGCCATTACTGGAGCTTATTTTTATTAAGGTTAATTTTAGATACGTTTAATATAGAGTGTTCTCTGAAATGGAAAGCGTCAGTATGTACTGGTCTGTGGCCTATTTGGGAAGGTCTCCAGTCGGGGGGCTGTAAGGAGCCCCAAATTTGAGCAATTCGCCCTGAGCGGACGCCCTCCGCTGTGCCCAGACCCGGCTTGGTCTGTCACATATGTGTTCACTTTTTTTGATTGTATCCCTTTGGTATATATGATCATGCCAATTTTCTTCCACAATTTGATCTGAGGAAGTGGGTCTGGCCCACGAAAGCTCATCACCTAATAAACCATCTTGTTAGTCTTTAAAGTGCTGCATAGTCCTGTCTTTTGTTTCAGCAAGACCAGACTAACACGGCTACATCTCTATTACTTTGTCTGCGATGTGAGTGAAGGCACCGATAAAATGTATCTAGAAAGATTAAAACACAAAAGATATATGTCCACCTTCCATGTCAGTAGGGCAATGATAAAAATATTGGTTGGAATCTGCAGACCACTGATAATGATGCAAAAAGGAGATAAGGACACATCACATGTGGGAAAGGGCTAAGGACTTAATGTCTTGGCAAACTGAAGTTCTTTACTTGCCTGCCTGCTGTTTAACTTTCCAACTCCACCCGAACAATGGAAATGGAAAATTTGCCCAGATGTTTCTAAGGGACTAAGGCTGTAACTTCCCCTTGTACAGGCACAATTTGCACTTGCATGTTGCATTAGCAAATTTGCAGATACAAATCAAAGGATTTGCACATACAGCTACCAGATTTACAAATCCTACTACAGTAAAACTCCAATAGTCCGGCATCCAATAGTCCAACACTCCTGATAGTCCGGCATCAAAATGGTAACAGCCTAGTGAGTGACAAGGTAACAGCGGCAGCAGCTGAACTGAGCAAAAAGGGTAAAAAAGGCTTAAAAAAACTAAAACATTACAGTATACTGTATAGAGCATGTACAATAAAAAGGGTTAAAAACACTTTATATACAGTATATAATATATACAGTATATATATAACCAGTTTATAGTACCTCCTGATAGTCCGGCATATCTGATAATCCGGCACCACCTAGGTCCCATAGGTTCCGGATTATCGGAAGTCTCTTGTACATTGAAAAACTCTTGGGGTGGGCCTTCCGGATAGGAGCCCCTGACACAAACCAGAATTCCTAGCGGTAGCACAGCCACAGCCAATTTGTGAGATGAGTTTGGGAATTAACGTTCTTTGAGATCTTGGATGGGGGTTGAATTCACTCTTACATGGTTAGTTCTCACAGCTCCAGTTCGTTTTTCCGCAGAAACAACGGTCACGTCTGGCATGTTATTTTGTCTTTCCTTCCCACGGAGTTTTTTGGGTTGTTACATACATGATTGTGTGACTTGGCTAATATTTTGGGAGAGAGTTGATATGGGACATTTTGGAGTTCAATACTTCTGTGTTTGTCTCTGTGAAGCATTCCCTGGTATATTTTTGCACTTGGATTTTCAAGATTGAGTATTCTGGCATTTTAAGTGGGCGCTTTGTCTGGTTGGGGAATG